TGATACAGCTGCCCCTTCAGAGACATCTTTCTTAGTAACACACCTGGTTAACTGTAATGCAAAAACTAAGATTTCATTTAAAAAAGAAAAAAAATCTGTTACAACTGTGAGTGCTTATTGATTGAGGGTAACAGTATTATGTTACTACAGGAGATTTCCCTGATTTAGTCCATTAGTCAACCCTGAAATGATTTCTCACAGTCGGGCACACCTCCCCCTGTATAGGAGTGGAAGTCTTGACCCTAAATGAATCTCTCTTCTCGATCCAGAACAAACAGTAGGGCATTTGTTCAGTTATCTCGAGACTTTTATGGGCTATTGGATTTCTAACTGCACTTTCTCATACTGAGTGCTGAACTCTTCATGTCCAGTGTTGACCCCCATCCCTTATCTCTGGAACTTACTGCACTACTCATCAAGAGCACACTTTTCTTAAGAGAAGGAAGTCAACACTGCTGAGTTGCTCTTTCATGCTAGTGACTGAAACCCTCAGATGAAAAAAAGGGGCAGGAGTTCGCAGCCATGTGAATTATTAAAATCAAAACAACTGTCTGCACATTCTGGCAAAGTATTTCTTACATAATCAACATTTCTTTGGTTAGCAATCCTATTTTCCTTGAGATACAGAACCCTTATGAGTGAAACAATGTTCTTAATCATAACTGTGTGCTACAAATATGGCATCAGATATCTTTTTTATTAACTTTCCTTCTGCTGTAAAGAAAATGGTTAAGAATATTCTAATCTTTCCCTTTGATATGCAGTCAAGTACCCTTTTGTAAGCTGTTAATAATGTTTTAAAATATATTTTCTCAAATTAATTTGGAGAAGTGTTGAAATCAATGATGGTTACTTTTTTAGATAGGTGGTTTTTCTTGACAATTAAAATTTCCTGGATCTATGAATTTATAGAAGTATACTTCCCTTGCACTAAATAATCTGTTTCCATCAGTGAATTCTATTTGTGAATCCTTAAGCTTACAGAAAACAAATTAATATGTCTAAATAAGTGAAACAGGTTATGTTTGTGGCAGCAGTGGAGGGGAGACAGTAGTTTTTCTGAAAATCCTTTTGATTGGCACTGATGGAAGATAAAAGGAAGTATGTCAAATTAAGCAGGTTTTATGCATTATTTAATTGAAATAATTTAATACCAACAGATAGGTATTTGTCTTTTGCTGACAAGAGCACCCAGTCACTCTTTCATTGATTTTGCTTGGACACATCAATATGGCTTTGCTGAAACAAGCAAAAGCAGCTCATTATCTTCTTTTGTTCTTTCCAATTCATCACCCAGGGCAGTCCTGTCCTTAAATTGTTCAATAAATCTCACCACACCATCGTGAAGGCTCTGAGCACACAGGGCTGTATCTCCTACCTTTGAATCTATTTGTTGGCACAAGCATAAGCACAATGGACTCAAGGATTGCCAGCTGTCTCTTTGATATAGCTCTTCATCTGTCTTTAAAAATAGAGAACTACTTCTCTAATTTTGAAAACCATGTTTTTTCTTGTCAACCTTATTGTGACTTTAAATTTTAATTTTCAGTCATTACTTTACCTGATAACGCAGAGATTTTAATGTGCAAAGTAAGATTATTATTCTATCCCATATCTGAATTCAAAAACAAAAGGGGGACTCTTGCCACAACTGGACTTGACAGAAGTTGCTCTGTTGAATGTCTGGACGTGGACAGCTCTGAGAGTATAGATTACTGCTCCTTTTTAAAATTGTATCTTTAAATTTGTATAAACACAAAGGAACTTGTATTCTGTTGTCATAAGGCATAATACCTTGTCCAGATTTTGCTGGTGTTCAGGCTAAGGTTCAGGGCCTTATAGACAGCACGAGGCACTCCCTTCTAATGCTGTACAGTGTGAAAGGAATCACTTCTGTGACCAGCGGGATGTACAATGTTGTATCACCATATATACATATGTCATAATGGCTTTCCCTATGTCTTTGACTCAGCTGGAGTTCTAGTTTCATTTATTGTTGTCCAAAAGTTTGTCATTGAACGTTTTTTCTATACTTTTTTCAACAGTTAATCCTAAAATTAATAAAATGGAACATTTAATTAAGAACAGGGTAACAGTCTTTTGAAAGAGACGTTCTGTATATTCCAAAAGTATCCTTTCAAGTGATCTATAGAAAGCATGTTTATTTTAACTATCTATAAAATATAGCCTGTATTAAGGCAGAATGAATGTGAACTTTGAGAGCATCAACAGAATGTAGCAGTTATTGAAATGGCACTGTAATTCAGTAAAGCAATTCTGGTGTATTGGTTCAGTATAAAGCATGTATGAGATGGATTCACAAACAAAACAAAATTAATCTGTGCAGCAAAAAAGCCATGAGAAGGTGAAGAAAGTATAAACTGCAAACTAATTCATATACCCTGTCCAACCAATCAGAATTCTCTTAATAAATCTCTATAAACCGAGCACATCAATCAGTATTCTATGTGTTTATGCTAGGAGACCTAGTAAATATGATAATTTGTCATATACTTGCATACACATGGTTAGTGAAACAAATGAGTTACGTTTCTATTAGCATTTTACTCCTGTAAGTCTTGTAACCATCTTGCACTTCACATGCAATTTATGCCATGATTCATAAATTGCTCTAGAAACTGATACAAACTTCTATCTGCTCTGGAAAATGGCAGAATGTTTTGCATTTTTTCAGAAATATGTTTGAGATAACAAGATTCCTTTTCATCTCTGTGTCACATTAAGTCACTGTTTCACCACTGGGTTTTTTTATTACTGTACAAATTTATGTTGGCTTCGCTACTTAGATCCTTTAATGTTCTCTACCTTCTCTCTGTCAGTTAGCTGTTTGGATAATGCACTTGTTTATAAAATTCTTTAAAGCAAATCATATTTATGAATGCCCTCATTATGGTATTTGCTGAAGAATTCATGGCCTTATTCTAGGAAAGAGATCTTACTGGATATTAGTGTCTCATAAAAGTTCTAAAAGTGAAATCAGAGCAATTGATATGTCAAGAGAACTTTAGTGGGCTACGGTCTCAAGTTACATGTCCTACAGAAAAATCTTACTACAGTTCACAGAGCTCTTAATAATAAGAGTATCAGTACATGGACAGTGGTGCTACAGAAGGAGGGTTTACACAACCTTCAGGTTACTCTTTGAAAAGTCAAGACACCTCCCTAGCAATTGTGTCAACTTGAGAATCAATTACAGCAAACCTCCAGCTACTCCTAATTTCATACAATTCAATTCTAGATTGTTAGTATCTAATTTTATTCCCTTAACCTTTGGCTCATATTTATTGATTTGCATTCTGTGCAATCAATATGTCTTTCAGTATGGATCGTGTCAGTATTTGTTCTTTCAGAATTCTCGTGGTATCATTCATCAGTCTTTCTCCAGGGCTTCCCAGGTACTTGCTGCAGTATTATGTAAGCTGGTTTACAGGATCAGAATTGGCTTCTGATAAGAAATTACCTCTCTTCCCCATATTCTTCCCCCCAGTTAAGAACAGTTGCAAATTACAGCTGCTACCAGCTAAGTAAAATAATAAGTAAAGCTTCTTTGTGTCTGTGCAGCACATCTCTACTCACATGCAGACTGCTTTCACTGCAGGGGTAACCCAGAGCCTCAACCCCCAGATTCCTTTCCTTCTGTAAAAACAGAATTTTTTATACCATTTTGTTTATATCTCCAGTGTAGTTTGCAGCAGGGGCTGTCTCTTCTGTTCTGGTGAGTGCTGATGATTTCCAAGGTCACTCCCACTGTAGTGGCAGCAGACTGAGTGGGTACAGCATCTAACGGTGCTGTCTCCTTTGTAGTCTCTTAACACAGATATGAGGCTTGCGTAAAACTGGCAGATGTTTACACAAAGTCGGCCTAAGTGTCATTCACCTCGAAATAAAAATACAATCTTAAGTTACTTTTTTCAGTTCATGACATTGTTAATATTGCTGAGATGGTGAGGTAAGACATTAACATAATTGTTCAAAAGATTTTGTAAATCAGATTTGAAATCTTTTCCAGATCATTACATGGGTTTCCTCACAAAAGTTGTGATCTGTTGTTCAAATCAAGTAAAGGTCTCCCTTCAGCAGAAATTATGTCAATTATGCTGATGTTTTCATTAATTCTCTAGTGTAAGAAGTTTCCTCATGTCATATTTGTAGTGGAAAAAATTAATTGTATTTCAACAGTGGCTTTCTAGATCATGCACATTAGGCAGCCTTGCCAAGCTATGCTAAGAGCATCTGCTTGTTTGTTTACATACTGTCTGGTTTCCTTTAAATGTTCAGTAGTTGGCACTACTCAGCCCACCAGGACTCTGTTATGTTTTCTTATTTAAAAAAAGGAAATAGAGTTCCAAGGGCTTGGTATATTATTTTTGTAATAAAACATACTGAGCTGCTTCTTCCTAGAACCTATGATTATAGGTTTTATTGGCTTGGGTTGATTGAAAGTTGAAGCTTTTGCTTTCCTGGGTATAATTACTGTCCATATCTAACCATTGTATATATATACTGTATGTATTATACTTGTATACATACATCACACTGTATGTATAATACTTGTTAGCTTATAGCTGTGTAAATGATAAATGGGCATACTAGTCATATGCATTAAAACACAGGATTGGATTCCCTTTAGTACTGAAAAACATCCAGCCTTTACAATTAAGTTTTCTTTGAAAATCTTAATGTAATTAAAATGCAGAAAAAGCTGTTTGAATATTCCTTAAGCCAACAGTTATTTCAGAAGAATATGGTTATTCTAACATTGCACAGATTAAAAAAAAACCCAAAAAACATTTTTAGTGTTGGTGTGGTGTTTTTGAAAAAGACATTTTTTTAACTTCAAAACCATGGAAATTTGAAGAGGCACTGTCTAAAATACTAATGTCTTCAAAGTTGGATGTTACATGCAAAGAATAATTCAGCAGTTTGAAATATGGCATATAAAATCTAACCTTGAACTGTTTTATTAATGTTCCAGATCACCTGAGCTCACAAGACTGCCAGCTCTTCCCAGAATATTGTAACAGTAGCCAGTTCTTTGGGAGCATAAGAATCTATGTCCCAGCAAGCATGGAGGTAGGTGTAAGGCTTTTCCTTCTTTTTTATTTCTGCCACCACCACACTGTCAGTAATTTGGGAAGGTTTATTTAATATCCTGCAGCTGCAGATGTCTGGGTGTACGATTGTTCTTATGCATGTTCTCCTGTGTATAACTATTGCTGTTACATTGGTTATTGCTGCTGTATAAGTATTGTTCATTTACTGTCACAATATTCTTGGTGCAAGTTGAAATGAGTCTGACAAATCTATTCTGGTTGCTAGCCTGATCATCAGGTTGGTAGCCAGGTGTCGTATGGACTGAGTCAGTATGACCGAGGACATGAGTGTTTGCCCACTAGGGGTAGTGGATTGCAAAGGAACATGAAGAATTTGCTTTCACTTTAATTTGCATGGGTTGGATTTCCAAAACAAGGAACTGAACTTTCAGTAGAAGAGTATAACACAGAATATGTGTTATGAAGACTTAGAAGTGTAAGGGCAAGCATTATTTTTTGATGAAATTATAAATGCCTGATTAATCTGAACGGTAGAAACATGGTGCTATTTACTGTGCATAAAAGGTCAGAAAAGGCTTGGTCGTTACATCTGTCCCTTAATACTGTGTTGCTCATTATCTTGTGAGATGAGTAATATTTCAGAAGTAGCTTTGTTTGCACTCCTAAATGGACCAAGTATTCCCAGCATTGTCTTTAGTTGAAGTGTTTTTGATGTCTAACTTGCTTCTTTCTCTACATCTTCATGCTATTGCTTAAAATAACCAGCACAGACAAAATCTTTATCCATTTGGTCTCTCAAGTACACTTTACTCAAGACTTGGTGTTATGATTTAACTTTCTAAAAATCTGTTCGTCAATCTTTGTTGAATAGTGACTTTGTATTTCTTTGTGATAGCCTGTAATGCTCTATAGTGTTACTGAAAGTAGTGGCCAAAGGAATATGCAGCATTGACTACTAACTTGCTAATGAGTTACCCCACTGATTTTGAGTTTCACTTCCCACTCTTTCTTGCATTTGTATCCAGAGGGCTTTAGACCTCTGGATAGATGGCGGCTATGGCCCTAATGCAACCCTGTGTCCTCAAGTATTTTGAAACTTTTAGGGTTGTATGAGAATGTAACTATTTCTCTTGTACTCTTTAATGGTGATAACTTGGTATAAATGGTAAAAGAAGCATAGGTTATGTCTTTTCCCTGACAAGACACAATGTATGTAAAATATGGAGTATAATATTTGAGGTATCATGACTTTGCTCATACCATCAGGTTAATACTTGCTATTTGGAATTTTCCATATATCCATAGTACAACACATTTCCCTGATGAATAGTTACATGCTTCTTTCTAAACTATGCCCATAATATATAGTGGATTATTAGGAAAGATGTTAAATTTAAATACCAGCTTTCTCTTGTGACTTATCTGTTTCTTGGGGATTGTAGATGGGGAAGATTGTTCAAAGAAAGTGCTACCCATCAAACCAAAAGCATTACAAAAGGCATTTCAGCCTTTTTGTTTTCACAGTGCAAAAGAACCCTATTTATAACAAAAGTTCAAAACATTTAATACACTTGTCAGTAGAACTACTTAGTCATCTCTGAGTTATCCAAGGTAATGGGAGATAAGAATGGGAGAGAAATTCAGTGTAGTACAAATTGTATGTAAATTAGGCTTATATCTTCAGTAAGTTCATTTTTGAAAAGCCTCTAAGCAGTTTTCTGTAGAGAGTAGGTGTGGGCTGCTTTAAACATCAGATAGCAGAACAGAGCCTGATGCAAGTGGCTTCCCTTGTGTGGCTGGGAGCAGGGAGGGAAGCAAAGGAAGGACCAGTTTTGGTCCTTTGCTGGTGCTAAACTGTGCAAAACTGAGAATGGACTGTAGGTCCAGCTGCAGCCTCAGACAAGCACAGAAGGGACAAATTATAAATATCACTGAAGCACTAAATCAAGCACAGAAGAGGATTTATGCAAGTGAAAAAGAGACTTCCTAATCACAAAGCTGTTGCTGTAACTACCACAGCAGAGTCAGGAGCTGTGTCACTGATTGGCCATTGTCTCCTCCACTCTTCCCACTGTAACATGCACCAAAGGCGTGCTCCTGTCTTTTAAGGGAATTACAGGAAATATTAGAAAGCTCAAAACTGCATGCTGACTTTTTCTCTTTTGTATTTTGTCATGTAGTTTCTTGCCAAAGTATGAAAAAAATTCATTAACTGTTCACTAATATTGATAAAGTCCAGAGGTGCTCTAGAGAGCCATCTATTTCATCCTCAGGGGATTTCCTTGCTGTCAGGACGTCTGTTGAAGGCCACATTTTGCCTTCACACACCACATCTCACTGGAATCCATGTACAAGGTAAATAAGGAAGTGGTTTCATTTTAAATGTTCATTACTGAGCATACAATTTTAAAAATTTTGAATAAATAAGTGTCTTAGTTGTGCTGGGGCTCACGTTACTAATTATCCTCTTCATGTATATCCTCTGTAATAATTAGTCTTACATGTTCATTTACTGATTACATGGCATCTTCCTATTTAATTTAGTGTGCTATATCCTCTTGAAAATACTCAAATATACACATTATGTGCTTTCTCACTCAGAAAGGGATCTATTTACAGAGTTATTACAGACTACATGCTTCTTGTACTTAAAAAGAGTAATTTTCTGGTTTTGTTTTTCAAGAAATACCCCTTTTAATATATAGCTGGACTGAATTCCACTTTATCTTAGTGATAAAATTGCAGAGAACTGAACACATTAGAGTTTGGCATGTGGCCTTTGGTCACTGATGACTGTCCTTTGTTGATGATGCCAAAGTATTTCCATGATGGTCCTGTACTCTGGAGATCCTTTAAGATTAATATGTTGCAAAGGGACTTGGGATCTGAATAATAAATTGGTATTAAACCCTCTAAATTAGAAAAATACATAGTTTATTAAGCTATAAAAGCAGTGTTTGATTTTTCTTTGAGTGAGCTAAGGAATAAGAACTCTGAATTAATTAAAAATGCATTTGTGGTATTTCTACCCTGCAAGGCTTCATAGCTTTTGATTTTTAATACTTTTCAGATAACAAAATAGAATAGTACATTTTCCTGATGGATAGTAATTATTATATAATTGTTAATTTCATTTAAAATTTGCATTTGTATATCTTTAATTAAAATGCAGTATCATGTAATTAGGCTGGATTCTGCTGGTAATATCATCTAATACACACCAAAAAAATGCAAATTTAAGGCTTAGTCTGTATCTAAGTGTTATCAGGACTCCTTGAGGGCAATGCTCTTTGCATCCAGCTACTCTGGATATTCTTTGTGCTCTGTGAATGCTCAGTAACTTCTAGAGGCCATGGTTTTTATTCTGTATATTGAAATAAATCATACTAATTCTTTTCCTGTCAAGGGGTTTATAGTTGTGATACATAAAGGAGATCAATATCAGGCCCTTAATTTGCAGTCAGCTGCATTTTTGCCTCCTAACAAGATCTGAGAGGTGGAAGAAACATTTTCAGTGTTTTGAATCTATTTGAGTGTGGTTGCAAACATTTCTATTAAATATCACATGTGTTAGCCTATAACCCTTGAGGACTGAGCTTTAGATTTTTTTCTCAGGAATTGAAATATATTCCAACTACATGTTTGCTTTACTAGAGAGCAAAAAAAAATCAATTTTGTGACATGATTTTATCGTCAGTGGTCCAGTGAGTTTGAGAGGTGTGTTGAAGTGCATACCTATGCCATTAAATGCCTTTCTTTATTTTTTTTTAATTTAAAGTTTTGGAAAGAACCAGTGCTTTTTTTGTGCTCTTTGGATTTTATATATGGATTCTTGATCTTCTGAGGAGCTGAATCTTTTTTCTTAAGAGCATTACTCTTTCTATATTATTCTATTTGGTAGGATCTTCTGTCAAAGATCACCCTCATTTCATTACCACTGTTGCTAACTTCTCTCTGTTAAACTTTGAGTTTTAAAATGCAAATTTGACCTGAGTACCAGCAAAATCATCTCCTTTGCATTAGCCACTTTTATTTTTTCTATGGCTATGGAACACAAATTACTTCTCTGAAGTGGTTTATTTTGGTTTCTAGTAAAGATTCAGGCTCTTTGACAGTGTGGCAAGCATATGCATCTTATCACGTAGCTTAGAGATTGGTTGCTTCTTAGTTGTTTTTCAAACAAGAATGTATTGAATGATCTCTCTCTGAGGCTTTCAGACATTACATTTCACTGACTGGACTCCACAGGAGCTAGAGGCAGCAAGTGTGGCAAGAACTGTGGGATTTGAGCAGAGAGAAAATAAGTTTTGTTCTATAGCTCTAACAGGGCTGCAGGCTCTAACAGGCTGCTAACAGGCCTGTGCTCAGTGCATGGGAGTCAGTGCTTACCCAGGGGATGCAGGAGCTGCAGAGAGAAGAGGATGGAGTAGTTTGCCCCTGGGTGATGGACAGCTCTCCCAGTCACTTTCTCAGGGAGATGTTTGTCTGACAGCTTCAAGATCTTTCCAGGTGGGAATTTTGGTGGGTTCTCAAGATTCCTTACCAGCTCCTGTGGTGTCTAGTCTAATTTGTAAGCTTAAATTATTGCCCTGGTGTAGTGTCCTACAGTGTTCTTGCTGCTGAGGATGGCAAATTAAATATAGGGAAGATATTTGTATATAGTCTTTAGAAACTGTTCCTGTAGATGTGAAAATGGTCAAATATGGTTAAGATAAAGGCAATGGATTATGCCTGTGCTGGAGTGGTTATGTGGGATCATGGGCCAGCTGGATTGTGAAATTTGAGCAGAAGATTTGTCTGGATAGTCACTCACCATCCAGATGTAAATGATGCTGCAAGGAGCTTGGGCACAGGGACTCCCACTGCCTCCCAGACAGACACGGCCATCCTGGCAGAGAGCTCTGGTTCCCCACATCAGTGTTACCTGACTCCCAGATCCTAATCAGTCAAAGTTTTCTTTATAGTGACCACTCTGTTTATGGGTGTCAGTGCAGCAATGAGCACCATTGGAAACCAGTGTCCTTTTTCGTCATGGTAAAATTTTAACTTAAAATGGTAAAAATGGTTAAAAAATGTTCTATTTTCTGTTTCATTTAATTCAGAACTTGTTCATAAATTCACTTCTGACTGCAGTGTTTGTCCCCACTCCCCTCTCTCCCAGATATTTGCTGCTTGTCAGATCTGTCAGCTCAGCTGCTCAAATGAGCCCTGACCTGCTCCAGCTAAATCAACTCACCAGCTTTCCGAAGTAGTGATCAGCTAGTGTTTATTGGATTAATAATTAACATGACCATGCTCTTGCAACTATGTATTTTTTATTGCTAATTCCATTTTGATAGTAATTGAAGGTGATTTATATTTTGTCTTGGTAAACAAAAAAGACTCTGTTTCCCAGTGTCATTTTGCCAATGTCTGAAATTTCCTTTGTAGACTGTTCATTCCAAAAAAAGAAATAGCTTGAAACAATTATTAATATAACTTAAAAAGATATTAAAGCTTGCTTAGTTTATAGCTTCTGTCACTTTTATAATGAAACCTTAATCAATATCTCACAGATTATTGCTTTCTTTGACTTACTTTGTTCTCAACTCCCAATAAATGAGGCTTTGAGTGATGATGCTGATGGAATAGGCAATGAAAGACTTCTACTACTTTTTTTTTTTTTTTTTTTTTAATCTGTTTGGTCATGGTGTCACTTTTAGCTGCATCAGTCTATGGCAATTACATGGATTTTATTATCAGTGTCAATTTTCCCTGTTTTTTGTTTGCCTCAAATGTTATTCTGTTTCCCACTGAGCTCTAAAACCAGTTTCCAGCTTTCACTTAACTACTTCTGCTTATGTTATTCATGGCTTAAATTTTAGTAATTACTCAAGTGTAAAATAAGTATGCATCCCCTGTGATAGTTTAATATATTTTTTCACTGTGCAGTACTGTCTGCTGATTTATATTGGATAATTATAACCTATTTATATAGCCATATTTAACCACATATAACCATGTTTATGTAACCTTTGTAACCATGTTCTGCAGAGGATGAAGTGGAACATACATTGGGGGTATGTGCTTTATGATTATACATCCAAAATAACAGCAGAGAATAGGCATAAATGCAGGTGACTGGGAGCTTTTTACAGTGAGCAAATATTTATGAAGGGTTTGAAGCTGATTTCATTTAGTGAAACTTCCTAGAAAAAGTGAATGATACCACAAGTGAAAGTGTTGCCAAATCATGGAGGGTGTTGGTGTCTTACACCTGAAGGGAATTGTCTCCAGAGCTTTTCTTCCTGCTTCTGCCTGGGCTAAGAAGGAAAGAAAGCAGTGACAGAATTTCTGTAAGGATCAAGATGGAGTGGGCACAGATGGCATGAGTAGGGTGACCCAATTTAATGAGGGCAGCCCTGGACTGAGAGCTGCTATTTGACACCAGACTATTTGTGATGTAGCAATTGCATCTGGTTTTCCCCTTTTCAAACCTCAGTGCCTGCAGCCCTGCCCTCCAAAGGGAGCTGCTATGCTCCATAATCCTGAGCCATCAGCACAGTTCCCAACACCTGACCAAGACAGGTTAAGAAAAACCTTGTGTCATAGTTCATGTGTTCTACTGATGGGGAGACTGTTGGGGCTAAAATCCTTGTTTCCATAAATTCCATGCTCGAAGACTGGATCATTTTAAACCACTGTGGAATTCCTGTGACTTAGCTAGGGGAGTGGAGCCAAGACATACCACCTGCAGCATCATCTCTAGATATTGGGTATTGTGACAACAAAGTATTTGGAGATGTGGATCTTGTCCTGTGCTTCAACAGCAATGAGCATTTTTACAGCCACTGAATGCTGTGTCTTTTGTTGGGAATCTTGTCTCTGTGTGACCATCCACAACAAAACCCAGTGCTTCCATTGGTTTTTTCCAAGCCAGGCAGGCTAAAGTTCAGTTTGTTTCCAAGCCAAACACAAGAGATGAGCAAGTCAACACTCAGCAGTTGTAACTCCAAAAGGAACTCTGCCTGATTGTGTGCATGTGGCATATTACTAGGAATTTTCTATTAGGAAGAATAGGGCAAAAACATAGGAGGTTTTTTCCTGTATATACCTTAGGAGAGACATTAGTCTTTGCCCAGGTCAGTTCTACTACCTGTCAAGGCACAGAGTTTAGAAAGTGGCTTTCTTGTGCTCGAATGACAAGATTTGAATACAAACAAAAGGATTGAATTGAAATAAATACATGGTAATTTTTTTTCTCCCTCCATAGTTAATAATAATGCTGTTATTCCTGGTGCTGATGTGTTCAGAGTTGTAAATTATTAACTAGGGCAGATGAAGATTATTTGGTGCATTCTGGAGTTAGCATAAATTTCCAGAATATTGGGATACACTGATAATTTATGTGGTAGGAGAAGAAAATACTGCTTTTGACTTTTCTTGTGTTCCCCTAATGCACATCTGTAGCATAATGATGAGATGTTCTGTGTGTGCCTGTTTGTGCTGGTTGCTTGCAAAAAACAGCAGCTTGAGCGGCTTATCAATATTAATATACCTCTGCAAGTCTGTAGCTTCTTTCATAAAATGAATACTTACAGTAAAGGGCTTGGATACAAGCTTCAAGGGAAGTATATTTAGATGCAGACAGAGAGAAAAGGACCATTAAAGGTCCAGTGTATATTTGTATATATATTATTTTATATATGTGTGTTTATATAGTATATATATATGCATGCATGCATAAATTTATATACTCACATATACATGTGGGTGTACAAATTTTTTCTTTGCTGTCAAAGTGTAAAATTAAAGCCCCAGAACATGTTTTTTAAACAGCTGATGGAATTCTCTGATATTTTCAGGAAAAATTTATAAATTATGCTCATGCATCAATATTAGTTGAAGATTTAGTACATAGACTTCAACAGGAATAGCTGCAAAATGTAGAATCCTTTGAACCCCTCAGGGAAATCCCCAGGGCCTTGCCTTGGAAGACTATACCATAGAGTCCTCACACAGGCTGAAAGAAAATACTTCTCCCATGGAGCCTTGTACAACACTATGAACCAACCCTGTTCCTTTCCCCATATGTCCCAAATTCTGGTAGTTTCTCCTTTCCCTGTTTCCTCACTGCTTGGGGTGGCTGGCCCCATCTTCCCTGTAAGCCAATGCCCTTTGCTTGCCCTTTGTGCCACCCCTGTGCCCTCAGACCATGGGCCACTGACCCCATGCTTAACCTTGTGCACACCACATGCCTTGGTCTTTTGTCCCTGACTTCCCTTTGGGGTATTGGAATAAACCTTGGCTGGAGTTTGTCATACAAAAGGCCCTCCTGCCTCTCTTGGCTGAGCTAGCTGTGGTGAGTGCAGTGTGTGGACTTGACTGCCTTGCCTGGATGCCTACCCAGGCAGCTTTTCCACAGGAGATGGGAAAATAGGTAGCAGCATCCACCATCTAAACCCCAAGCTGCTACAGCAAAACACTTTGGTGGTGTTATAAAACTGCCATTCAGCTGTGTAGGGCTGACTATATCATGGGGTTTCTTTGTGTTTAATTGCTTAGAAGGGGTTTGTTCTGTTTTGGTCTTCTTCTCTGTCTTCATAGCTAGATGCTCTCGGGAGAAAGTAGTGTGGGCTTTCTGTTTTAGCTCTGTTACTTGCTGAACTTTGGGAAGACTCCAAAATTCTGTCTTGAGCTCTGAGATAGCCCAGCTTAGTTGAGAAGTTTCTTGAAAACATTAGCCAAGAATTCTTTCTGACACTTTGGAAAGGATGCAGAGGCAGCACAGCCACTTCTGGAACTGATTGTCCTTTTGTTAGATGCAGTCATTGCATTCAACCATTATACTTTAGTAACCAAGTGCATTATTTAGACAGGTCTCTGCCAACTATTTGAAAGCAGTTTAACATAAAAAGGTGACTGTTCAAAGTTATAGGAAGAATTGTTTTAACTTGACCAAAGCAGAAAAAAATTTAACCTTTGATCCTTGTTTCTCTTTTCAGATAGCTATGAATGAAACAGACTTTTTCACATAATGTCTCTGAAAAGATATCACTAGATCAATTGTTTGATTCCAAAAGTAGAGATAATATTTATAAGAAGGAAGAAAAGAAACAAAATCCTGGTTTATTACATTTTACAATAGTGGGGGAACAAAACCATTAATGTTTCAGCCATGAGCCTTTGACCAATTAAGAGGTACTGCAGTTGTGTTAAAATGATGGGGTGCTGCTCATGTTTCTGGTATATCACTAGGTCACTCCTTTGATGCTTTCTTGTTCTCTGAAGAAAGGAGTTAATATGGGATGGATTATGCCATAGTGTGTGTGCCCTTGTTGTTCATCCCTAAAATCATGGCCTAGTAATTTGGCTCTTAAAATAGAGGGGGAAGGTTTGGTATAAGTAGCTTAACGATTGCTAGCAAAAGGATTCTGTCTGTGTCCCTGGTGTCTATATGAATACTTGCCTCTGTTTCCAGTCAGATTTATAACCCTATGGTCTAAATCAATAACTACATTTACTTGATGGATGGTTCCAGCAGGGCACAGAGCCCTTGTGCTCAGGTGTAAGCAGTTTACAGATGGAGCAATGTGTAAAACTAGGAATAGATTTGAGGGTATGTCACTCATTTGAGTTATTATGAAGCTGATCCCAGAGCCTCTCAAAGAAACCAGAGAGAGAGACTTCTCCACAGGGCATTTCCAAGTAGCTTGATGAGTCTGCCCTCAGTACCGAGCTTTCCCTGGAGAAGGGATTCCATTGCAACTGTGAGGAAATGCACTGGCTGGGGAGCATCAGGTCTGTCTCTTCGGATGTGCCTATGGACTCACCCATTCCATACAGAGCAGGATGCTCTGGTTAGGTTCTTCCACGGGGAAGGATGGTAGAACAAGTTCTCTATGGAGAGGAGGTGCACTCTTCATTTCTAGTGAAGTTCAATCCAGATGAGAGAGAATGTCATTCACAATAAAAATTAATAAAATAATTTGGTGTTAGAAGCCTGAATTTATACAAAGATGACCTTTTAGCCTGCTTTAAGTACAGCTTACAAACAGAACACATTTGAGAGGCTGCAAACAGTAGAAGTCATCTGATTTGGTTTAAATGTGAATTCCTCCTGCTGTGATAATTAGCAAAAAGTTGAAAGAGAATTAAGCATGAGGGGTTTGTTTCTTAAACATTAACTTTTGGATGAAGCATAAATAATGAAGCAAAGTATGTCCATAATTAATATTATATCATTCCTACGATTCACTGAGTATTAGATCAAACTGCAGGAGCACCAGAATACTGAGTAGTTTGTTCTGCTCTTTAAGGAGCTGATACCAGATTTCTGTTCACACTTCTTGGTTTTGAGGTCATAATGCAGACCTATTTAGAAATGCACAAACAGTGAAGAATTCATCTTTATGCAGTATTGGGAGTTAATTAAGAATTATCTGATGCTCACAAACAGCCAATTTTAGAATTATCTGGCAGAAATGCAGATTAGGTACTTGATTTTCAAAGTAATAGTGAGGAATAGGTCTTCTCTGTTGGCATTTTGAAATACTATGCGAGACTGTCCAGGTTTCATCT